CCTGTTGTCGAAAACCTGCCATGTGTTGCGTTGGACTGATCCGACATAATACTGTTAGTGGTTGTCGCGCCAAGCAACGCATCGCATAACGTAAACATTTATTGCACTTTTGGCCAGTTGTGTCCACTTCTGACAGGTTGTGCTGGCCGTGCTGGGCGCTGCTGCCGCTGCCGAAGATCAGAAGGCTGACGACGCCACCCTGTACTCCACCTACGCCGCTCACCCATTAGGCTACACGGCCGGCCACCCGTACGCCTTGAACACGTACCCGACCGTGTACAACAGCGCTTACAGCGTCCCCACCACGTACGCTTACAACGGCTTCAGCGCCTACAACGGCTACACCCCGATCGTGCACTCGCTGAAGAAACGTGATACCGCTGAGGCGGACCAGAAGGCTGACGATGCCACCCTGATCTCCACCTACGCTGCCCACCCCGTGGGCTACACGGCCGGCCACCCGTACGCCTTGAACACGCACCCGACCGTGTACAACAGCGCTTACAGCGTCCCCACCACGTACGCTTACAACGGCTTCAGCGCCTACAACGGCTACACCCCGATCGTGCACTCGCTGAAGAAACGTGATACCGCTGAGGCGGACCAGAAGGCTGACGATGCCACCCTGATCTCCACCTACGCTGCCCATCCCGTGGGCTACCCGTACGCCCACGCCGGCTACTCCACGCCCTATGCGTTCCGCAGCGTGTACAACACCCCGGCCAGCACCCACCCCATCACCTACAACGCCCTCCCCTACGCCTACCGCTCTCATGTGTACTAGATGATGGCGATGCCGGAGAAGCAACGCGACGTGGAGCTCGCCTGTGCCTGCCGTTGCAATGAGCGTGATAGCTTGCTGCCTTTGCACCGGATGTGGAGACTTGTGTTTTCGCTAAGTTGAGTGCGAACGCTTGTGCCTGTCCATGCATTGTGTCCACAAGCATACATGCGTCCTGCTAATTGGTTTGGAGACTGGTGTTGACCACGCGTTGATGGCTGCGACTTGCAACTTTCTAAGCTCACGGACGTTTAATTTGATGTGGGTTCAAGGGTTTGGAACTGTAATAAAAAATATAAGAAATTCCGTACTATATTCACGTTTTTTTCTCAGTGGCTCGAAGATATCGACGTCAATGACCGGCATCATGCAGATGACGTAGGCTGTGGAGCCCATGATGCATGCTCCCGGCATGCGCAGAGGGAAATGTAGCAATGATGTCTCGAGATGCCACCTTGTTATGCATTTGCCAGGGTTCAGTCACAACAAACATATAATTTTGAAGGGTCCAGCCCCTGTGACTCTGCTGAAACATACGTCGCTCTCCCTTTGTAGAAAGATATTGCAGATATAATTGTTAGGCCGGGCAGGGTGAAAACAGGGTGCGAGGGGAGAGTGAGGGGGGGGGGGGGCGCAATTTGGCCCAGCGTCCCGAAATTACCATTCACTTGGGTTGAATGACGATGCCATTACTTACCAAGAGGCGAAGACATTATCTTCGTATGGATATGTTATGGATATGCTGTTTAGTTGATATGTACATATCCCCTAAATGGGTTGTAACAAACAAGATTTTACTGTTCACTTGTTATAATGTATTCCTTCCTCTTCTTCAAGTCCTGTTCACCGTCGTGCTGGTCTGGTGATCTGCCCAGGTACAAGCGTATTCTCCGTCATCCACTTTGCACTGCAGAATTGATTTACATGGCGCGATGGTTATTCGTGATCATTAGCCATGTTTGCTTTATTTGAACTGGTATCAAATTAATCTCAAGTACCGAGTGATGCTTGGGCACTGATCTCTGCGTAGGTGTGAACACGCGTCGGGGTGGCCGGTTGGACTCCCTTTGCCCGAGTGGGGAGTCAATTTGTCCTTCCTAAGATTTCGGGAACTAAGAGGGCTAGAGACACCAAATTTACAGGGTGTGCTGGCCTGTACGTGAACTCATTTAGGTCAAATTTTGAGGATCCTAAGTTTTGTCCGTCAGGTGAAATAAGGTCAATCAAGGTCAAACTCCAGGCTGGTCTCCGAAGTTTCTCCAGAACCTAGGAACCTGTTTTAAGCAAAATGTCACATGCTCATTTAAGGTCAGTGACCTTATTTGAACTTTGCAGGTAATGACGACCAAAATCATAGAAAACTGCTTTGAATTTTGTATCTAAATAGCGACAAAGATAACGCCTGGCAGCATGTTTCTAACAACGAAATGTTGACCTGGGTCATCATTTTACGTTAGTGGCCTATTCTGACTTTTAAGAAGGCCGTGGAGAATGCGTAATGCGGTTCCTGTTATCAATAAGTTCAAAATGAGCCCCAGACCCCACCACACAAAGAAAGCCTTTGAGTAATAAAACAGGCTGGTTTTGATTTTGGTCTGACCTTCTGCCTAGCCCTAGGTCAATGGAATGTGGTTATTTCATTGTTGCGTTGCCTAAGAAAGTACCTCAGGGTTGCATGGCTTCATGTAAAGACTTCGTTGATCCATTAGATTATACGATTCCCTAGAAATTCACATCGCTGAATCCATGATCTGACTTTGGCCTGCCGTGGAGCAGCGACCCTATGAGATATATTTATTTTTTGATACTGCACAATCCGCTATTTAATTGCCTATCGCTACGTAATATTTGGCGCGTCTGCGCCGCGCCGTTCGGAAGCATTCCGGGAAAACCCACGGAAGGTCAATTTGGCCCTCGCCCGAACGCGTGCTAAGAGTACGTAACAACCAGTTCATGCAGAGTATACGATAAACCACCTTAAGCCAAAACCACGCTTCAATAATCTCATCTGAACAGACGTTGACTACTACAGATTTAACAGCAGACACGTGGTATGGAGTTAAAGGAAACTGACCATGCTAAAATGCTTTTTTATTCTAGATGAAAAGAACGAGCAAAATGCCTCAATAGGCGGAGGTCCTGAACCTCAGAAAATCCTGAACTCATGACACACGCCGACTTTTCGCCACATTTTCGCCAAAATACTTCCACAACGGATGTATCGCAATGTTCGGTTTATTTGTAGTGTTAATTGTGCTCCCCAACTAGGTAGAATAATAACTTTGCAAAAGGCTGTGCGTTTGATAGAAAACGTGTACTCTCCACAAAGCTCAGAGCCAGCTTTTAAACACGCCAAAATTTTCAAATTGTCGGGTATTACTAAATTTCGAATGTTAGCTGTGATGCATGAATTCCGAACTCCACAGCTTCCTACACATTTAATGCAATATACAAACTCTGCGAATCAAATCAAACGCATATTAGGCAGTTAAAACATTTAGATCACCTATTCTCCAATCGTAATTATAGGCTATTTACAACATCTTGGCTAGGCCCTAATCTGTTAAAAATATTAGGGTTTCTTATTCCCCGAGACTATCTGATTTTCCTCGATCAAAAACCATCGCTAAAAACATCGTCCGCAAGCATTTTGTAAACACATTAAATTAAGCGACATATCCGACGGTATTGCATGTTTTGCCCTTTAGACATGTCATTCACTCCATACTTGACGTTCTTAATGCATACCATGCTAAATGAATGCATGAATGCATGAATGGAACCTAGTTGGTCACCTGATGATTTCATGCTGGGTTTTGACCTGGATCTCCAGGGAGTCTATCCAGCTAAGCGAAACTTGTTGGGAGCACGCCCAGAGCCGGCGACATAAATTTGGAAATAAGTGTGTGAATTTGGCTATATCAGAACCTGATTATGGGGCATGAAGGAGATTAGGCATGGAGTGAAGTGGGGGGAAATTAAATATGAGATTTAGCAGCAACCGATAGTTTTGAGCTTTTGTACCTTTTGAAAATTGGCCTTGAGCCTTGTGGAGAGTACATGTTTTCCACCAAACGCACGGCCTTCTTTGCAAAATTTCTAGCCTATCTAGTTGAAAAGCATATTAACTCCCCGAATCAATCAAACAAGGCGATACATCCGTTGCGGACGTATTTTGATGAAGATGATGCGCAAAAGCTGACATGTCTCATGAGTCCAGGATTTGCTGGGGTTCAAAAGCACCTTCCATTGATGCATTTTGCTCGTTCTCCGCATCTGGAATCAGGAAACCTTTCGCAAGGGTCAGTTACCTTCAACTCCATACCACGTATTTGCTGTTAAAACTGGTGTCTTCAGCATTTGCTCAGTTGAGATCATGGCAACGTGGTTTCGGCTTAACGTAGTTTATCGAGTACTCTGCGTGTACTGGTTATTATGTACTTTCAACACGAAGGCTGACATAAGTGCCTAAGCATCACTCGGCACTTGAGATAAAGTAGATACCAATGCAAATAAAGCAATCATAACTCATGATCATGAATAACCATCGCACTTTGAAAATCAGTTCTTCAGTGGCTAATGGCGAAGAAGTCTGCCATTAGGATAAACTTGTACTTTGGCAGATTACCAGAACCGCAGGACGGTGAACAGGGCCTGAAGAAGAGGAAGGAATACATCAAAAGTAATAAGCAGTTAGATGTTGCATGTTCCAACCCATTTTAAGGGGGTTTAACATATCCACTCGCAGATAATTGTACCCGCCTCTTTGTAAGTAGTGGCATAAGGCTTCGACCCAAGTGAAAAGCAATTTCGGGACAGTGCGTCAAATTGCTCCCCCTAACCCGAGCGCGTGTATTCAACCCGGGGGCGTTTTGGAAGTGATGCCGTCACCGCAGTATAATGTAAACAAAAGCATGAGCTCCAAGGATTGGCGAATTCGTTTGTGTTTAGTCCGATCTCACAGCTGTGTCTGCAATATCTTTCCACAAAGAAGGGATGGCGTCGTATATTTCAGCAGGATTCACTGCACCCTTCATGTTGATATGTTCAAGTTGGCTAAACCCTGGCAAATGTGTGACAAGGCAGCATCTCGAGCCATCATTGTTGCATTTCGATGTGCGCATGCCGGGAGAATGTATCATGGGCTCCACAGCTTACGTCACTCGCATGATGCCGGTCATTGACCTCGATATCTTCCGAGCCACTGAGAAAAAAGTGATTATGGTACGTAATTTTGATGATCTTTTATTACAGTTCCGAACTTTTAAGGCCACATGGAATTCAACGTCCGTGAGCTTAGAAAGTTGCAAGTCGCAGCCATCAACGCGTGGTCAACACCAGTCTCCAAACCAATTAGCAGGACGCATGCATGCTTGTGGACTCAGTGCATGGACAGGCACAAGCGTTCGCACTCAACTTAGCGAAAACACAAGTCTCCACATCCGGTGCAAAGGCAGCAAGCTATCACGCTCATTGCAACGGCAGGCACAGGCGATCTCCACGTCGCGTTGCTTCTCCGGCATCGCCATCATCTAGTACACATGAGAGCGGTAGGCGTAGGGGAAGGCGTTGTAGGTGATGGGGTGGGTGCTGGCCGGGGTGTTGTACACGCTGCGGAACGCATAGGGCGTAGAGTAGCCGGCGTGGGCGTACGGGTAGCCCACGGGATGGGCAGCGTAGGTGGAGATCAGGGTGGCGTCGTCAGCCTTCTGGTCCGCCTCAGCGGTATCACGTTTCTTCAGCGAGTGCACGATCGGGGTGTAGCCGTTGTAGGCGCTGAAGCCGTTGTAAGCGTACGTGGTGGGGACGCTGTAAGCGCTGTTGTACACGGTCGGGTACGTGTTCAAGGCGTACGGGTAGCCGGCCGTGTAGCCCACGGGGTGGGCAGCGTAGGTGGAGATCAGGGTGGCGTCGTCAGCCTTCTGGTCCGCCTCAGCGGTGTCACGCTTCTTCAGCGAGTGCACGATCGGGGTGTAGCCGTTGTAGGCGCTGAAGCCGTTGTAAGCGTACGTGGTGGGGACCCTGTAAGCGCTGTTGTACACGGTCGGGTGCGTGTTCAAGGCGTACGGGTAGCCGGCCGTGTAGCCCAATGGGTGAGCGGCGTAGGTGGAGTACAGGGTAGCGTCGTCAGCCTTCTGATCTTCAGCAGCGGCAGCAGCGCCCAGCACGGCCAGCACAACCTGTCAGAAGTGGACTCAACTGGTCAAAAGTGAGACAAATGTTTGCGTTATGCCATAACCTGCTTAACGTGACGAGCACTAACACGATATAACACTGAATCGGTTCCACGCGGTGCATAGCACGACAACATATTTTTCCCAGAGTTTTCAGAGTTTTCGACAACATATATTTCCCATTCATTAACGCAAACGCGAAGAACGATGCACGCGTAAAGAAAGATCTTTTCTTCAACACAGTCATAAGCGAGCCTTAAAAAATGAGCAAGTCAAAAACGGACAAACTCTCGGCCTTTCGCCATTGCCTGCTATCGATGCCCGTAGCAGGATCTGTTATAGCATACTCCCGGCCAGAGACCGAAGGCATGCCCGGCTGGGCTCTGTTTAAGTCTCAAAGATATTACCATTGACATGTTGAATATCATTATTTTTGTTACGGTAAAGTCGGCATTGTCATAAGCCCTTTGATGCCTAAAATGCTGTTGCAAAGCTCAATTGCCAATGCAGCACACACGCGTACACATACACATAACATACACGCGCAGCATGAATAGGAGCACCTTCCTCACTGAAAAATTGTAGCTAAAAATCTACCACAAGGGAACGTCGACTTCTGGTAGCGCACGATGCTCACTCACCAGGAGCTTCATGATGCGGTCGTTGTGGCTGCGACTCGAACTGTGCCTGCTGCCGGCCAGCGCCGTCGTTTTATACCAGTCATCGGGGACGCCCGGAGCGGTCTAGGCCGGCGGCGTCTGTGGTAGCCATTCAGCATGTGCATGATGACGAACCACGATGGCCTCCTCCCCTGGTTGAGCCGTGTTCACGGCTGGGCGGGGCCAGTACTGTAGGCAAAGAGGGTGTGGTCGGGCGTGGGAGGTATAACATCCCGGGCACAGTGATCTGTGAAGTTCAAGGTCAGACACCGACGGCCCGGTAAAAAGATGACGGGAGGCCGAAATGTTCCGCGCAAAAACAAGTGCCGTTTGCTTTTCGCAGGGCTTGCATGCTTCCATTCAAAAGCCGTCTCAATTAGCAGGACAGGCCATCATCGATCGTAACCTATCATTCCAAAGTTGTTGGCATTAGTTAAGGTGCCCCAGTGTACACGAAAACATCATGCTGTGAAACAGTTGTTTAAATGCATTGGTTGGCGAGTTGAAAGTATTGATTGTCATGTAGGACGGATTCGTTTAATTTTCGGATACCACGACGCCTTTCTCTACAATCTGCCTTTTGTCATTACTGCCAAGCTATCATCTGTTCTACAGCTTGCCATTGTCGTTACACCTTCTATGCTGTTTTGGAGTTTCCAGTTTATAAAAAACTTATCTGGGCCCCAGCTTTGGTATGTTCTCTCCATTCTATTATAATTTATTGTGGCATTCTGTTATGCTGCCGTGCATAACTGTGGGATATAAGTTCGGAAGTCATACAAGCATTGAAGTCTGCTCACAATTTCAGGATGTTTGAATCAAATACAATTGTTCCGCAAAATGGCGGAAAATCCGGCTCATTATCATCTGGTCCGTCAACACTGATCAGCCTTTAAAGATGTGTACGAATTTTGCAGACTGCAACGACAAAGTTGCCATAGGCAGAGTTTTTGGAGTAAGTCAGTGTATAGCACTGTTTTATGAGATCCTTGCTCAAAGGCTGTGATTGGATAAAAAGGCGCGATAACTCTCACCATTCTGCACAACCAATAACCAATTAAGCGAGAAAGGAAATTATGGAGAACCATCGCCCAGTAACCGAGACGGCTCCAGCAGCACACCCGCAGATTTATTCGCCACCGTGTGCCATTAGATGTAGACGCACGTCATGCGTGTGGGCATGTGTATTGTTTTGGCCATATGGGCGAACTAGGAAGTAGGGTGAGCATATGTTGTTTGCATGACGGAAGTGCGTGTGCAAAAATACGAAAAATGATAGCAAGTTGATAAAAGTACGCCAAGACCGCAGCTGCCTCCTATCGGCATACTGCTTCTTGCCTAGGAGATAACACTACTACTGCGATACTGCCAGCCGCTTGGAACGCCATTGTCACAGTCAGGGGCAGAGCGAAGACCCATTTCTAGCTAACCGATACACAGCATGACCTTTACAGCCAGTTGAGCAACCCGTTGTAAGACGTCACCGTCTTCAAATGCTTTTAAGGTTAGGCGCGTTGGGATGTGTTGATCCGAGTGCCCACGGACGTGGAGACGTGGACATGGAAATTCACGCGGATGATCAAAATATTTCATAATGATTCTAACAATTGGTAGATAAACGAGCGCGGAAAGAAAGCAACAGTTACCAACATCTTGAGGCAACCGACACGCGCACGGAGCCGTCTGTGAGCCGCGCTAGGGCATCGTATGCGTCACAAAGAGTGGCGCACTATTCCCCACGGCTAAGTACGGGTCAAGTGTGAAATGAAGGTAAAACAAAAATTCTGGGCATCCCGTGATGGTATGGACCGACCGAAACGTGTGTGACTACCTGCGAGCTGTACTGAGGCGTCGCAAACGTCACAGAGGCTCACGTGAAGGGTTAGCACTTGTTAACCGAAACGCAGGCAGGGAAAACGGCAGTGAGCTTTGGAAACAAGCAGTATTTGCAACGAACCCTGAATTGGTTGAGATTATGGCACAGAATCAACAACAGTCGAATACTAAAAGCGGCGAAAGAGACGGTGAGCGTAAGTATTTTGACCCGGTCATGAGTTATACTGTTTGAATGATTGTCATGCGGACAAAATGAGCCATTTCGCCACGCTTTCGTTGTTTGTGCCACCGTGGCACTTGGAGATGGTGCCCCATGCGCCGAATTTTACAGATTATAGACTCTAGTACTCGACCAGCGCAAAGCCGAGATCGCGCCTCCTCTTCACAGAGACAACGTTGGCTCCGGCCCCATGCCGCTGTTCTTCTTAGGAAAACTTGGCCCCCTCGTGTGTACACCTCGTACATATTTTTTGTCGCACCTGGCGGCGAGTGTCCCCGGAAAATCTGGCCACGAAATTCATTCAGCTCCTCTGAGACGTACCGGTTTTTTTCTCGGAGCTGGAGACGGCGCCGGTACATTTCATGGCGCATGCCACCATGGGAAGCGCGCCCAAAACGCCCGCCATTGCTACTGTTACCGCTAGGCAGGCGATGCGCCCGGTCAATGTTACTCTCAGTGATTCCCAGGCCTGGCATCAGCTGGCTTAGGGTCACCAGGCTCAGAGATGACAAGGCTGTTGATGTTCTCGAAGTCATTGAGGTCGGGGTGCGTGGAGCGTGGGCCGGAGCGCAGCCACACGGCAGCTCAGCTGACTCGACCCCAGCGGCCGGGCGGCAGCGCCGGCAGGACCGGCGTCCACGTCATCCCGGTGACGTCACCTCGACCCGGGGTCGCCAACCCGGCGGCGGACGGCTCGCCTGCCCGAGGGCCAGGGGCTGGGGCGGCCGGACCGAGCCGCCGCTGGCTGGTTGACTGGGCGGCCCCGGCACCGCCAGGCGAGGGAATCACCCAGACGGCGCGCGTGACGGGCGCGGCTGTGTTCCAGGACAAGATGAGGCACGGCAGGCGTTGAGTTATTTCGGCGTCCTCGACTCTCCTCTATAATTCAGCTATATGGGGGCGTGACACTTCACGGCCATTGCTCAAGTCCTTGACTGTGTTGCCTCGGTCCTCAGCGCGACGCTCGGGGTCTGGCATCCTCTCTTTGAGTGAGTTGAACGCCTCGCGAAAAAATCCACGACATTCTTGAAACCTACCACAGATGAGTGCTGGAATGCGTTCCTCCATCTTTTCTTCGGCCACGTCCACATACTGTTTTAAAGTCCTTGTGACCCGAGTCACAGACGGGCTGCAGCCTAGTTCACCGGCCCAGTCACGGGCGTCACGCTTCACGGCGGGCGTCACGGCACCGGACTCCGAAGGATCGTATTTCTGAGCCCCACCAGACGCATCGCTGGTGTCTCCGACGAGGCTCTCTGTGATCCTGGTTGACCCTGAGCGTCCACCCAACTGGCGCTCCGATCCTTAGTGCTGCCTCTACCACCGTGTAAAGACTGCTCCATGGCTGGCCGCTATCACTGTACCGGTGACAGGACAGAACAGGACAGCTCCGCAGGCCGGGCCCAACGCTAAAACCAAGTTTCACGACCACTGCTTTTGAAACCAGGAAGGTCACAAAAAGCCGGCAGCATCGGCGGTCACATTGACATCATGGTCGTGCTTAGTTCACTCCGCATAACGGCAGGACGGACGCGCGCGGGGTGGGATGGAGCGCGACCCGGCCCCGACCGAGGTCACAGGCTGGCTGCCATGACCTTTTGGGTCTTGGGTATTTTTGATGAAGCGGACGTGAGATAACCGTGAATCTCCTGCATCTTCAATCAATGAGGCTTAAAATGCAACAAAGCAGTTTCCCGTCACATGCTTAAAATCATGCATATGGACCCAGACAGATAGTCTCGCTTTCCTTTGAAAATGCTGATATGAGCGCCCATCGAAGCGCTTTTTTACCACCAATGCCTTGTATTTGCGCTTGATATTAGACAGTTGTTGAAAAACGATCGGCGTGCGCTCACGTGTCTGAGTCATAATTACGGGTACTCACGCTCATTTCGTGTTTAAAAGATTCAAATACGATGCAAAATTCCAGATTTCACATCTCACTTGGCCTTTACCCGGCGGCGTCGCCAGGTTTTTGTTCAGGGAGAGGCCAAACAGGACGCTGACGTGCATGGGGAGCATGTTCCTATCCCACCCTGCTGGCTGCTGCACTCAAATATGAAAAAGCTTCTGATTTACCGGATATGATCGGTGACAACATGGGACACTCGCTAACCAATTGGTGACGAAGTTGCAAAAACGGGAACGGGTTGCAGCAGACCAGACCATATTTCAACAGACGATCGCAGTTAGACGAAGGTGAAAACTAAGTGTTGGTCTGTAATCGGTAACGCTCGCAGCGTGAGCTCGTGAAGGCACATGTCGATACGCTGACGTTTCGCTTTATGAGCAAGTTGAGCCGCAAGATGCTGCCAAACGTAGTAGCTTTAATCAGGGTAGTTTTGGGAGGTAGCAGAAATGCACTTCAAACTTTATGAACTTGGCCACTTTATCAGTGCTGACGCCAGAATGGTAATGACACAGTGTTTTTCCAATATCTCGCTGATCAGCGCTTTTCACTGAATTTTTCAGCCAATAGCTACTTCACGTGGTCAACAGCATAAGATGCCAAATAACTAGGCTTATTAACAATCGTAAGAATTGTGACTGGCCATGGCATCTTGCGTCAAACGTAATCACTTTCCTACCCGGAGTTTTAAGCGTCGTACTATTTGAGACAGATAGGCTCGAATGCTTGCCACGTGGTAATGCGTTAAGTTCAGTGCAAGGCTGTAGGATACTGTTGGATGCACTCGCGTCGTGAGAAGATGACTGTCATGAAAAGCTTAGCTAACCGTCGTTTTTTAGGCACTGTGCAGGGTTTTCTACAGATCTACCATTGAGGGCGCCCCTGGTTATAGCATCAAAAAGCCCTGTCGATCTAGGAGGCTTGTTGTTTGTGGATACCCGACCTGTGGCTTCAGAGGTCAACAGGAGGATGTCGGGCGACACATGTCAGGGATTTATCCGCGGCTTCCTGCTGCTGAGAGGAACGGCGGCTTTGGGGTAGGAGGCTGAGCATCGCTGGTGTGGACCTCTTA